GGGAGAAAAAAAAAAAGAAATTAAGCAAAACAAAGAAGGTGTTTAGCTGTGAAAATTCTCTGCCCAGCCAGAGAATTAGTTCTATCAAGGGGATGGGCTGAGCTGCAAAGCTGCTGAAGGCTGTGCTGACACGTTTTACTGAGCTGCGAGCGACACGAAGCAGCCGCCTGCCACCTGCTCCCCCTGCGAACAAGTAGCTCCAGCAGCCTCTTCCCCATCCCCTCCCGCTCTGTTTATCTGGGAAACGCGGGGAGTTTGGGCTTTGCCCCAGGCCGGGGCTCTCGGCCGCGGGGAACTGGAGGGGAGGAGCAGGATGTCCCCGCGTCAGGATGCAGGGCTGACAAAAAAAAAAAAAGGCACCAAGGGCTGGTTGTGCTTTGGGGTTGCGGCTCTGAAGCGGGAATTTATGCTGGAATATTTGTGCAGCTGAGCAAACTCGGGGAGGAAAGTGCTTGGAGGAGGGGGCTTGGGTGGCACCATGGGTTTGTCCTGCACGTGGGGCTGTAGCCAGGAGAGTTTGGGCGCTACAGAAGGGTGGCTGGATTGGACACGGGCTGAGAGGGGCTCAGGGAGGGCAGCTAAGGCTAGGCAGGCCAAGGAGGACAGGGCCATAGAAGGCCAGGAGAAGGGGGCAGGGCGGGGAGGACAGGGCTGAACAGTGTTGGGAGGACAGGGCTGGACAGCCACACGGTGAGCASCAAGCCTTTCTCTGCACCCCGTGTGCAGGGGACACTTGTGCAGCACAGTGGGACAGAGAACTGGGCCGAGCCCATCCTGGTGCCCCCCAAACCCCTGCAGGACCTGCTGGACAGGAGCTGGGTACTAAAGGGTCTACTTCAGGCAGCTCCTTTAATTCTCAGCCTAGTTTTGGCCTGGCCCTGGCATCACCTTGCACAGGCAGGTTATCCCTGGCTGCTCCTCTGCAGCCTCATGGAGAGAGGCACCTGCAGGAGCAGGGAACCTCTGGCACAGCCAGGCAACGCAAGGCTTGGGACTCCAGAGGTTTGTCACATAAACAGTTGGGAACAAATTGTGCAAGAGTATCATTTGTGTCTCCTGTGCTCACCCACRAGTCACTGACAGCTCCACATCCATCCTCTCCTCCCCTCTCTGCTGGCTGCTCCTGACTCCCATCCCTTCCTCAGCTCCACCATCACTTTCCCTTGGAGAGCRGCAGCTCAGCAAAGCTTCCCCAGAGCCCAAACTGCTGAAATGAGGAGAGCAGGGTCTGTCCCTGCAGAGTCCTCTCCATGCACTGTGCCCAAGCCAGAGGGACCTCGCAGCACCACCCCACACACATAGAGCACCATGCTTGGCTTGGACAAATCCCATTTGCCCTCCCAAAGAGGCCTCCCCGAATCTCCACGTCCCCCAGGATGCAGAAGAGCTCTCCACAAGAGAGACAAAGGAAATGAACTGGGACAAATCCCCACCCACGGGAACCAGCGCTGGCATCTGCTGATTCCTGGTGATTTACACCCRCTGGTTCTGGCCAGGCTGGTTCAACTCGAGCCAGCTGAGGTTCTGGCACCACCCRTGGGGCTGGGGAATGAGCAAGAGAAGGAGAGGACAGGACAGGRCTGTGTTTAGGCAAAGCAGGGTCAGCCCTGGCTGGAGCTGGGTGCCTTAAGCCCCAGGTTGTCAGCCCAGGAGCAAGAGGCTGTGGGTGCTATGGCCATGTGGTGCCATCCTGCAGGGTGTGTGGGTGTGTCCCATCACCCCACAGGCTCCCTGGCTAGCAAACAGMCCTGAGTGGRTTCCCTGCAGGTCTGTAATCCCAGRCAGAGTGGAGTTATCGTGGCAGAGGTGCAGGGATGGGAAGCTCAGCTGTGCTCAGGGATGTTTCTGTGGGGAAAGGGTTTTGGCCTGGACTGCCGAGCAGTGGTGTCTCTGGTTGCTGTTCTTGGAGTGGATCCCAGATCCACTGCCCCAGGTGGGTCTGCCCCAGCCTGGCTGCTGGGGTCCCTTGTGGGGCTGAGCTGTGGGTGTGTAGTGGGGAGCTGCTGCCCACCCCCAGTGCTCGGGGCCAACTGCTGGACAGCTTGTCCTGGTTTGGCCAGGGCAGCAGGGATGAGCAGCCAGAGCTCCAGCTCATCCCTGCTCCACTGTTCACTGCCCACCTGTCCTTGGGTCACCTGCTGTTCTGCCCRGGGGCTGAGCTGTGACAGCAGCAAGGAGTATCTGCAGAGCTCCAGGATTTCTGTGCCAGGGATAACCAGCATCATGTTCATCACAGCCACGTTGGTGTCCTAAGGGCATCGACAGTCTGGGTGCCAGAGTGGTGCCAGCAGCCCGGTGGAGCAGCTGATGGCTAATGTGTYCCTTGTCACCCCCTGCTCCCCCAAACAGCTCAGGGGAAGCTTCCCTGGGCCCTTAGGTTGCCACACAGACATTCAGTTCCCTGACAGACTTTTCCTTTGATATTTATGGTCAGGAACATCTGAGCAGTGTGYTGGATCAGGAACGTTTCTGTTCCCTGAGCTCGGTGACACCAGGCAGCCGTGTCCCATTGCATGGTGGCACCCTGCCACCTGGGCATGACTGGGACTTTGCTAGCTAATCTCCATCCACTGAACTCCAATTTCTATGGAATAGCCACTCATTTCTCAGCGCATTTTAAGTTTTACTTGATGTTCAGTCATGTTAAATGAGAAAAACAAATGGGAGGCATCAGTGGCTGGAAGCCCTCAGCATTTGAGGTGCTGGGCTGTAGCTGGGCAGAGAACTCAGCTGGGGCTTTTGGAGGAGGAAGGACCCCACCTCAAATCCCAGGGTTTGGGTTTGGCCCTGGCTGGGTCATGCTGGAGGAACTTGGAGTCTTGTGCTCCCAAGGGTCTCTGCTGAGGAGTGGGAACAGCAGGGAGCCATGGGGCTGAGATGGGGACTCTGCATGGCCACACTGAGAGGGGCTGGGGCACACAGGAGTCACAGGGGCTGGTGCTCAGGGCTCCTGGTGGTCTTGGCACAACCCTTATTTGGGTGTCCAGGTCCCTGGCTTCCTTCTGTTGGYTCCCCCACTCCAGATGAAGGAGAAGCTGCTGCTTCCCTCAGGCTGGGTCTGGCTCTGCTGCCGGAGGAGAGTTCTGGATTTGGGGTCCATGAGATTTCCTAGAGCATCTCCTCTCCACCTGATGAAGCTCCCCATGGTTCTGAACCCACCTCCAGCTCAGGGACACCTCCTTAACTGGGACTGGTGAGCTGAGAGGGCTCAGAGCACCCAGTGCCCCACATCTGCAGCCCTGGGTGTCCCCCTCACCCGGGCTAGCTCTGAGCATCCCCTCTGAGATCACGGGCCTGTCCCCAGGCTGGCTGGCATGAGCACAGCCCCTGTGGGCACAGCCCCTGTGGGCACAGCAGAGCTGCAGACAGGGCTATGGCTGGGAGATGCTGCTGCAGCCATGGCCCTGCAGCCACTGCCCAGCTCTGGGCCTCATTGTCCCCTCCCAGCTTCGTTTGGTGTCAGCACCAGGTTCTGACCTGGGATGGGGCAGCYCTGGATGTACAGACAGCCTGGGGAGGGAGAGGCTGGAATGCAGCACCATGGGAAGGGACCKGGGGGTCCTGGTYGGGGGACAGTTGGCTCTGAGTCTGCAGTGCCCTGGAAGCCAAAAGGGYCAYGGTGTCCTGGGGGCATCAGGCYRGGCAGGGAGGGGATTGTCCYGCTCTGCTYGGGCTGGGRCAGCCTCACCTCACTGCTGGGGGCAGTTCTGGGCACCACAATGAAAGAAAGACATTGAGCCAKTGGAGAGYRTCCAAAGGAGGGTAAGGAGGTGGCTGAGGCCGGGGAGGGGTTGTGTTGGCAGAGATGGAAGTGTCCAAGGGCCATCAGTGTGCCAAGGCCTCCTGCTGTTCACAGGTGTGACCTTTTGCCCTGAATAAGGGGGTTCTGTGGCACCAGGGCCTCTGTGGCACCTGTGGGTGCTGAGGAGCCATGGGATGTGCATGGGCAGCACGTCATGAGCCCACCCCAATCCTGGCAGCTGGCATGGGGTGGCTYCTCTGCAGCCACCCACACTGGCATGGCCATGGTGCCACGGGGATGTTCCCAGTGGTGGCTGGAGGGCTCTGCCCACCCACTGCAGCAGCAGGTCTGGGGGACCAGTAGCTCTCAGGGCAGGGCTGAGCTCTCTCTGGGCTCCAGGGCCATGCCAGCCTCCAGGGCCATGGCAGTGCCAGGGGGCTGTGCCCAGCTCCAGGCCGGTGGCAGTGCCATGGGGGCAGTGCCATGGGGCAGTGCCCATCTCCAGCCCGGTGGCAGTGCCATGGGGGCAGTGTCCAGCTCCAGCCTGGTGGCAGTGCCATGGGGCAGTGCCATGGGGGCAGTGTCCAGCTCCAGCCTGGTGGCAGTGCAGGTGGCAGTGCCCAGCTCCTCCTGGCTGCACTCCCGGCCCTGCTCCACCCAGGCCAGGCCGGTGCATCCCCATGCCGGCAGTGGGGCCCATTAGCAATGGCCAGCTCCTGCCGGGGTGTTTGATTTGCACACAGCAGCAGAGTGGACACCGCAAGGCCCCGCTAATGCTTCATGGGCTGCTGCTCCCCGGGCTGACCCACATTGTGGCCGGCTGACCCCAGCCCCGGTCCCGCGGCAATGAATGCCAAAGGCTGCCATGGGTCCGGCCCGCGGTGACAATGGGGCCTCTGTGGGCTGCGGGCAGGCTCCCGGCGGGAGCTCACAACAGGGGAATCTGTGTGGCTCTCCAAAKCTCTGGGTGGCACAATAAGGGAGGCCCCGGGGTCTCCCAGGAAGACAGAGGCGGCCGGGGAGGCGATGGCAGGGAGGGAGGGAGGATGGACTCCTTTGTGAGCAGCTTTCTTTAGAAAGGAAGGGCTCTCTGAATGCCCTCTCAGCCGACCCGAGCGGGGCTGGCAGATGGATATCACAGGCACGCTGCTTATTCAGGGCAGGCTGCAGCTCTGAGCCGGCCCCCCTTCCCCCAGCCCTCATTTTAAGGCTAATTTGTTTTGTTAATGTTTTCTTCCCTCCCCCTTTGTCCGTGCAGATTGTGACTCGTACTGCAAAGCCTCCAAGGGGAAGCTGAAGATCAACATGAAGAAGTACTGCAAGAAAGACTACGGTGAGTGTCCCCTCTGCCAAGGAAGAGTGACACCCGAGGGGTGTGGAGGAGGAGCGTCCCCTCGGGAGGGTCCCCAAACTCACCTGGCCCAGGCTGGGTCCCAACCACAGCTCTGGGAACGGTTTCTGCCAGGTTTGAAGAGGGCAAAAATGTTCTCATTACCCTGTTTTTCTTATTATCCTATGGTAATGAGAAACGACATGCATCCCCCAGGCAGGTGGAAAGAGGAATCGGTTTATTGCAAAAAACTGTGTTTTAAAAAATCATTAATTGTTATGGGTTTACATTCTTGTGAAGCGTTTTACCCACCAGCACCAGAAACATGTGATGGTCAGAACCAGCCATCAAACACCAAGGTGTGAGATTTCACTCGCTCTATCCCTTGTTTTCTGGGATTATGTCACTTGTTTTTCACYTCCAGTTTAGCTGAATCATTCCYAGAATCCYTCTCTGCTTGGCCAAAGTAACAGGAGAGAGCAAGAGTTTTATGGGCTAACAAGGYCCTTGTTTTATAAGGTTTTACTTAACCACTACAGCAGCCCTGGGCAGTGATGGCTGGTGGCTCAGGAATGCCATGTGTCACCTGGGAAATTGGGATGAGCACACGAGAAACCCTGGTTTGGGAGTTGTCTCAGCATCTGCAGGGCGACTCATATATTTCAAGTGTTTTCCAGTGTCTTCTGGGCTAAGATGGCACCATGTCCCTTCTCCTCTCACTGTGCTGTTACGTGCCACAGCTTTCAAAGATTGTCCTTTGCTGTGGGAATGAGCACAGTTCCCTGTGCCCTGGATCCAATTCCCTGGTAATTCCCAGGTGACTTCAGAGGGTGATACAGCCCTGGGACAAGCCAGGAGACTCTGGAATCAGGGCCCCAAGAATCCTTCCCCAGCTCCACCTTGGAGCAGGCACATCCTGAACTCCCTCACCTCTCTGCTCGTGTTTCAGGGGTTGTTTCAGGTATGGGTTCATTCCCATGGTCACCAGTGAGGCCATGCAGGATCCATGCAGGACAAATACAGGGTGACCCCAGCAGAAGCCGGACAAGGGATACTCCACGTTGGTTTTGTGCTCTGGCACCTCYCAGTGAACTCGGGGAAGGAAGAGGGATTGGAAGCAAAGGTTTTATTTGCATTCCCATTTATTCTCCTTGTGGCAAAAGGGACAACAAACCTCCTTGGCAAGGGTGAGCCGCCAGAGCTGAGTGTGATTGTGGCCACCAAGRCCATCCTTGGAGGAGCTGCTGGAGGTTTGTCAGATGGTGGAAAGGTCCAAGGAATGCCTTTTTCCTTGGATAAAAGAGTTTAATGGCATGTGAGAAGCTGCTAGAAGGCTGTTCAGGATATATAGATGGGGTTACTAAGGACAGGAGTGAGGCTGAGCCCCAGCTAACAAAGCTGTGGGATTTTCCTGTGGGTGAATTCTCTGCTGGCTGATAAGGCACAAACACCTTTCSTACATGTGGATGTGCATCCCTTCATTTTCCCACCTGGCTTCTCCAGAATCTCCTGAGGGCTGAGCTCTGGAAAGGGGAGAAATCAGCTTAGTGATTGCAAGAAAATCAGACCTRTCCTGGTCCAAATTGGCCTCAGGGGTTGGGAGAGTGGGAAGGAGGACAGAAAGTCACTTGCATCCCTCGGGAAGCGCATTTCCAGCTGGGCAGTTACCTTTCCCTGTGGCTCTCGGAGTGAGGCTTGGGAGGTTTTGGTGGCAGCAGCACCTGGGCTTTGCTCGAGGGACAGTCCTGGTAGGGTTTCACTCCCCAGCTAATCCAGTCTCACTGTGGCTGTTGGATGTTTGGGTGGCAGCTCCCACTGGGTTTCACTGTAGGTTTGGGTGGCAGCTCCCACTGGGTTTCACTGTAGGTTTTGGTGGCAGCTCCCACTGGGTTTCACTGTAGGTTTGGGTGGCAGCTCCCACAGGGTTTCAGCGTAGGTTTGGGTGGCAGCTCCCACTCGTTTTTGCTGGAGATTCCAGCAAACCCTAGGGGGCTGTGGATGCCTCAAGAGGTGTCCCAGGCACCAGAAACCCCTGGAGCAATGAGCAGGGAAGAGATCCCTCTGGAGCGGTGATTTGGGGAGCTGGAAAGAGCTTTTGCCTTCTCCTCTATCCCTCAGCATCACTGCTGCGGCTTCCCAGGAGAGCCAGAGCCCTTTGCTWGGGCTGGTGAGGGTGAGGGGGACAGATTGGGACTGGGGTGCTCCCACCCGACCTTCCCGGCCATGGAAGGGTCCCCGACAGCCCCACGGCCCCAACCAGCCCCTCAGGCACGGCAGATTTGCTTTTTGSAGGACAACCCACGGCGGTGAGGCAGTGGGGTGAGCGCTGCCGGGGCAGCCCGGGCTTTCAGCGGGGCCGGGCAGGGAAGAAAGGGTTGAAAAGGTGCAGGGAGGGATAATAAAGACTTTGGGACTGACACCCCAGCAGGAAGCCAATTAGGAGGCTCTTTTCCTCACCGTTCTGCTGGCATCGCTGCGCTGAATGTCCTAAAAGGCCCTAATTAGCTTGAACAGAGTTCCTTCTCCCCGGGCTCAATCGGGAGCTATCATCCGCCCCGCGCTCCTCAATGGGGCTTTTAAGCTCCCCGCTTCATTCAGCCTTTCAAAGGGGATATTTTCCCTTATTTATTTTTCGTATCTGTTTGTTTTTGTCGGGTTTGCGTTTTTTTTTTTCTTTTTATTTTAAATTGGGCTTTTTCCCCGCGAGATGGGTTTGGGTGCAAATATTTGGAGTGAAACAGGACGCGGGGAGGGAGATTCAGGGAGGGGGASAGGCAGCAACAGAGGCAGAAAAGCTTTTTCTGGGTTTATTTTGGCTGCGTGGGGGAGCGCAGGGTCACTCAGCTCCCAGAAAACCAGGGAAAGAGGAGGGGTCTGCTGGCTTGGGGGCAGTTAAATCCTGAGGAAGCAGAAGGGATCCCTGCTGAACCCACTGCGGGTGGAGATTCCCAGAAGCAGAGGGGATTATTAGATGAGAGCAGATGATGCTGATCCAGGTGATGCCGGAGAGTCCTTTACTTCCTTAGGTGCCACATTTTCAGCCCGATTTTGGGGCTTTTTCCACTCTCTGTGTGGTGGTAGAGGAAACCTGGAACTTTAAATCTTCATTTTCCCCCTGACTGTAAGCTGCCTGTGCTGCAGCAGGGCCTGATCCTGCACGGATGATGCTGGAATGTTTTTGTCCCAGCCATGTGGTCCCTGGTGTCACCCCTGTGCCGGCCCTATGCCCCCAGCCCAGCACTGGGGAGGGAATGGGGCTGAGGAACAGAATCCTCATCTGAAAGGTGAGATCATCTGCTCACTTTGCCCTTTCTTGGAAAAAAAAAAAGTAAAAAAATCCTTCCTTTAGCGGAGCCTTCTCTTAGTCACCCCYTTTGTCGAGAGGAGCTTGGCAGGGGCTGCTGGAAAAAAGCAAAAGTGTTTTCAAAAGGCAGCTTGAAAAGAGGGAGGGAGGGGGGAAAAAAACCTGAAYCCCCAGAAAAACCCAAGGCTGGGGGCAAGCACCAACCCCGGTGCTCATAGCCCCTTCCACTGCTCSGGAATGTGGAGAAATCCCATTCTCAGAGCTGAGCAGTCCCTGCTGGAGCCACGTGCTGAGGGAGAGCCAGGGCAGCGAGGGGTCCCCCAGCACCAGGGCACACCCAGGCCGGCTGGGATTAGGGATCATAAATCTCCAGTATTAAACCGGTAGGAAATTGGCAAACGAAGCGAGGCAAAACCGCCGCCAAATAAATTAAAAACTGAAAAAAAGGGGAAAAAAAAATCCTGTTTTAACTCTTTGCTCCAGTGAGGAGCCAGCACTTTGCATTCCCAAACCCAGATGGTGTCRGGGTCAACTTTTGCTGCTGGTTGGAATAAAATCCACATGGCCTCTACTCCACTTGTGCACTGAGAGAGGAGCCAAGCCTTCAGAAAATCCTTTGGTTGGGACATCTGTGCCTGCCACCGCTGTCCCCAGCACCCCTTCCACCTGGCCATATTAAAGACCCTCAAACTGCTCTGTTTCCACTGCCACTCCTTGGGATCTTTCCCAGGGGCCAGCACAGCGATGCTCCCCAAATTTCCAGCTCCCATGGACATGTCCAAGGATACCTGTGATATTCCAGAATTCCACAACAGGCACAAATTTGGCCCTGTAGATCAGCCCTGAGTCAGACTGAGCAGGGGAAACCTTGAASTCAGGAGATTTATCACAAACCCCAAATGTAAATTCAAAAAAGCATTAAAGAATTAATTTTCCCCCAGGCTTCCTCTTTTCATGGCAGCCTGAGGAGWTTTGGGGCCCTGACTCACGGTCTCTGAACGCTGCGAAGCGCTGCTTTGCTTTCAGCCTTCAGCAGCTGCCCTCAAATGTTGTTCTGAGACTTTGGGCTGGGTTTTGTTTTTATTAATATCAAACTCTCCACTTCCAGGTTTTCATCTCCAGCTTCCAGCCCTTGGGGCTTTGTGGTGGCTGGAGGCTCCCAGCCAGGCCTCCAGGAGCATCCCTGAGCTCCAGGGATACAGGAGGGGACCAGGGACCCTCTGTCCCCTCCCACAGCCCGGGCACCACTCGGCCACTTCTTCCAAAAAACATGTTTTGGTGCGACCTGGAAGGCACCATCCAGGGGGAATTTGTGGGKCAGGAATGTCAGTGTCAGGTGGGATGTGGTTCATGGGGCAGCCTCTGTCGTCACCAGGATCCAGCTGTCCCCCAGTCCCCTGGAATGGGT